TTTTATTTATTTCCTGAAAGCCCAAGTTTCACAGACTCATAGAAACTTAGTACGGCTTGGGTTGGAAGAGACCTTAAAGACTAACTAGTTCCAATTCCCTGCCATGGGCAGGGACACCTTCCACTAGACCAGATTGCTCTAAGCCCCATCCAGCCTGTTCTTCTGGTCTTGTACACCTGGTCTTCCTGCACCTCCAGTGCCCTCCAAGCATTTATTGTTTGTCTACTCCACATCACCTACATACAAATCAAGAAACAAGTAGAGAGAGGTCAAAATCACCTCACAAGAATGCACAGAGGTCCCAAAGTACTGCTGTGTCCTTCACTGGCAACATCTGAAGACAGAACATTTGAACCAGACACCAAAAGAGATCCCAAAAAATATTCAGACCTTCCTTCTTCAGAGCTGCAGGATCAAGTTCTATTTTATAAAGGTACAGATGATCTCATCTTCTGCTTTACTTTTTGTCTAAATATTGCTGGTTAGAGAGTCAGCTGAAGGGCTGTAAAACTGACAGTCTTGTTACTGGTGCTTATAAATTGCTTTTGCTCAGCTGGAGTTAATGTAAGACCATCTGACTGCCCAGAACTGACATTTTTAATGATTCTGTTCCTCTAGCACTTTCTCACTGACCACTACAAAAATCCAAACTGTCTCTTGTTCTGCCAAGCTGTTTTGTGGATCAAGTTCCTTGTTCTCTAGGGATTTGCAGTGTGTCAGCCATCAGACCAAGCAAACTCAATAATAACTGACCTGAGAATAGCTACTCCAACACTTCTGTGCTCTTCTGTACTATAGATTTTAGCATGAAATGTCAAAATTCTGAAGGCTAGAGGACAGATGCATCCTCAGGAGAAAGACATAGGTGCAAAGTATTTTAAAAATGGAAAATGCCAACTGCAAAAGTTTGGTGGTTGGGTGCTGTACCCTCATCCTGTACTCTGCTGGGTACTGCTGTCTTTCTTCAGGTCTCCCTTTCCTATGCTATATCCCAGGGGACACAGAACAACTTCCCCTTCTAAAATATATTTCACTCACACAATATGGGAAATTAATCATATCTCAGCACTATTTGGTGAAGGTAGAGACAGACAGAGCTCTTCCATGGGGTGCACAAAGACACACACTGTGGGCTGAGGAAGGCAGGAGCACAGTGCCCCTGACCCAGCTGCATCCTGGGGATGTCCAGCAGCTATAAAGCTGTCTTAAAATTAAAGGAAATGGAATTCAAAAAGGTATGTTTAGATGAAAATCACTCAGAGAAAGAGGACTTAAAAGAGAAATAGTCCATGCACACATCCAGCAGATCTAAAGCTTTATGAGCCCTTTACAGTGAATCTGATCTCTCCAGGTGCTCCAGCAGAACAATGTGAGCAGCTCTTGGAGGGTCCTCCCAGTTTGGGGGATTGCTTCTGTTCTGAACAATCCACTTCCTGCTTACACAAGCTACATGCTTTTTCCATCCTTCCTTTTCTCCCTAATACATCCCATAAAGAAACATGTAACCAGGACCAGGTATGGACACAGCAGCAGCCCAGAGTATGCCCATGCACCTAGAGCCAGGGAACCAGGGCAGAAACTCTCAACTGGCACAAACTAGGAAGACAAGGAGGGCTACATTACAGCAGCAACATTTCAAGGAAAAGGAGCACAGCACAGCACCACCACAGAGATGTGACATCAACTCTGATTGCCCATGCAATTGCCCCTGGAACTCAGCTCTCCCATTATCCACGTTCAGCTCCTTCCCTGGCCACAGATTTTCAGTGTGAGCCCATGCAAGTCCTTGGTTTTCACAGGACCATTGAACCACAGAATCATGGAATGGCTTGGGTTGGAAGGGACCTTAAAGATCATCTTGTTACAGTCCCCCCATCTAGTTCCATTTTCATTGTGCCTCTAAAACATAAACAATTTCCCTTCCCCTTGGGAGCACTGTGAGCATCAGCACACTGTAGATGGGGAAGGAAGCAGTGTCACAGAGCCACTGAGGTCATTGAGACAGAAAAATAAATGGCTCTTTACATAAGTGTTTACCTAGTGGAATTAGAGGGGTGAGTCACAAGCAGAGAGACTGATCCCACCACTTTCCCTCTCTTTGTGCCTGTACCACCACTGCACAGAAGCCTCAGCTCAGCTCAGCCACAGCTTCATCCTCTCCCTCACAGCTGCTTCACACACTGCAACAGCTTAAAAACAGAAGGTAATGCAAACCATTTGGATCTGGTGATACATAACCCAGCCAGGCACTTCCTGAGAACACCAAAGCTCTGCAGCTGACCCAACCTGACAGACTTCACAGGGGGCTTCTCCAAATTGCATGAGGGTCAATAAAACATCAGTTAGGGAGAAAAATCCTGCCTTTTGCCACACAAGCAATTTATTGCATGTCTGAAAATTTTGGAAAGACAACCTTTCCAAGCACTAAGGAAGAGAAAAGGTGGTGGAGGATGAAGTCCTCAGGATGATGCAATATTAAACATCAGAAACTGAACTGAAGCCATACATTCAGGAGCAGATCTCTGGAAGAGATACTGCAAAGGGAATCCTCAGGCAAGGCTCTATGCTAGGGCAAGGACCCCTCTTAACAGATGCTGTGGCACAAGGGTATATCAGACAGACTGAGAGAGTTGAGGGTGTTCAGCCTGGAGAAGAGAAGGCTCTAGGGAGACCTTAGAGCACATTCCAGTACCTAAAGGGGCTACAAGAGAGCTGGAGAGGGACTTGGGACAAGGGCATGGAGTGACAGGATGAGGGGGAATGGCTTCATACTGACAGAGAGCAGAGTTAGATTAGTTATTAGGATGAAATTTTTAACTGTGAGGGTGCTGAGGCACTGGCACAGGTTGATCAGAGAAGCTGTGGCTGCTCCATCCCTGGAAGTGTTCCAGGCCAGGCTGGATGGGGCTTTGAGCAACCTGGGCTAGTGGAAGGTGTCCCTGCCCAAGGGACATGTACCGGATAGGCATCTCCTACCCTGAGCCTCTTCCTGCAGCACCTGGAAACACAGACGTGGCTCCAGTTCAGACCTGCATCAGCTAGAAACAGAGCTGTGTCTGATGCAGAACAAACTCCTCTGTAGTCCCTAGTTTCATGGAAACAGTTCATGACAAACCTTTGTCATATACAACAGCATCTTTAGCAGAGTCTAGACACCCCTTCAAGACAAACTATGCATTGTCCTGTACCCTGTTCTGGGAACAGGACTCCCATCAGGACCCTCCAGGGGCCCAAGCCAGATGAGCCTGGCTGGGATGGTTACATTTACCAAGATCCCTGAAGAGGTATCAGTGCCATCTTTCTCCACACTGCAGAATGTGATGCCTGGTGTGTGAGGACACACCTCAGAGTTTCCAAAATGCAGCCTCTCTCGAGCACACTGCAAAGCCCAGGCACCCTTAGCCAGGACTGACTGACTCAGAGGCAGAGCTCTGCCAAGCCATCCAACCTGGTATGATCCTGAACCAGGCAAACAACTTTACATGGTTAACAGCTTGATGCTACCTTCTCAGCATTGTTAGCAGTCATACAGAGCTCACCAAGCACCCCTGAGTGCAGAAAACACAATGTTCCTCTCTTGTTTTCTCTCCTGCACCGAGGAAATGAGTAAGGTAAGACACAAAGCTGCTGATGTGACTCCCATCTTAACCCCATTTCTTAAACACTTCTCCTCTGAGCACTGTCACATACCTCTTTCATCCAGCTTGCCAAAGCCAACCAGAAACCCTGAAAGATTTAGAATTATTCCTCTCACACAGCTCCTGTTCAGCCTGATGGGATAACAGGATACGTGAAACAGACCTGACATGGCAACCACCCAACACGATAGTTTTCAAGCAAGATTTAGTGTGACAGGGAGATATCAGACCTGATGCAAACTCAGTCTGCCCTCAAAGGCCAACCCTCCCACTGAGTTCTTCAAATCAACCCTCCCACAGAGTGCTTGAAATACACCCTTTGATTCAATTCAAAGGAAGCCAACAACACTAAAGAAGCCTGGAAACAGCATCACAGGGGGAGAATCACCAGGTTAAACCAGAATTAAACATCCAGGGGAAGTGATGGAATTAAACATTGAGGGGAAGTGATAGATATCACATAGATACATGTGAGATACAAGACATAAAAGAGTTTTGGGGTTTCTTTATTTGATGAGCTTCTCAGAACAGCTAATTCTCTATTAGTCAGACACAAAGACCTTGTATATAGATGTAGTTCAGCTCCCACAGATCCACCTGAAAGGTTCCCACTGTGTTTGATGGGGTTTGGCTTGGGAATTGAGTACCCTGGGAAATGACTCCAGTGTCCTTTGCTGAGTTGGGTAAGTTCCTTCTAAGCTCTGCCTTGCCCCACACCAGTTCTGACTTGCATCGGATGGACATAACACATAAAAACACTGATTCCTAGGTGGAATAAATTAGTCCAGTCAATAAACACAGGGCCTACATATACAGTGAGAATAATCTGTATAAAGTTTTATAGAGGCTTTGAGGGCTTGCTCTAACACTGCCAGCACAGGGTCCCATGGCTGGACCACACATGCCTCAAAATGCCAAAAAAGTAGCACTTACAAAAATGTTGCTGAAGCAGCAAGTGGCTGATGAGCAACAACCCAACTACCCCACTCACCTTGTCCCCACAGGGCATATAGCTCTGCACCAACCCATCACTGGCAAATGGAACTAAAATTTCCTCAGGAATCTCACCTGAGAAGTTATTTATTTGTCCACCCTTGGAGCAAGATGACACTAAGCTCTGGGAACAAAGGAGCAGGTCTGGAGTATTCATATTCTCCCCAGAATGACAACTCAGGTCACATCGGCTGGGACTCATCCCAGTTTGGCCAGTTACCACTGTGGATGGGGCTTCCTCACAGCGTTGTGTCTAGCTTGAGAACCAACCTGTGAGGCTTCCCAGCACAAGGGACTGTCTCATTCAGAGTGCAGAGCAGGAGGTATGTCCTCTGTAAGGGTAAAGGAAGAAGGAGCTTTTTCTCTTACCCAGACCCTGGTTCTGCTGCTCCCATTCGATGGTGTCCGGAACCTGGTAGGACACCCCAGCCAGCTGGGCCACAGGGTTTTCCAAGCCAGCTATGGGCTCCTGGGAGGTCTCTCCTGGAAGTGTGAAACCTGGCAGCTCTGTGTCACCCTCCATGCTTTCATCCATCAGATCTACATCTTTGTCTTCCTCATCTTCCTCTTCCTCCTCTTCTTCTTCTTCCTCCTCCTCTTCATCCTCTTCCTCTTCCTCACCCTCTGGCCAAGGAAGACACACAAAAAAAAACCCATTAGGAAACATCCCACAAGACTGAAGGATCATAGATCTCTACAGGTGAACACCAAGCTGATACCACTGTTCCAAAGGCAGAGCAGCTGAACAAACTTGTACCTGTTTTCTAACAGGAAAGACACTCAACAGGGGTTAATTTGGAGGAGCTCTTCACCACTGGAAGTTGCTAACTAACAATGAGATGTTGTCTCAGACTGCCAAAAGCATTAGTGGGAAATGTAGTTATTTTTTGCTTCCTAATAGCTGAGTACAAACAATCAAGTGCATGTGTACCAACACCTGAGTAGCTGTAAGCACATAGCTCTCTGCTCAGCTAATTTCAGCCCAAGTGAGAGCTATTTCCCTGATTTCCAATCTTGGAGGCAGCAGTAAGTTGATTCTATTTTTAACTCTTACTAATCCTTTCCCATCTCTGTCAAGGGAGCTGCTTTCCAGTCCAATTACTCTGATATGGTCCCTCCTCCAGAAAAAAAAAAGTATCTTGCTTTGATGTGTGTTAGCAGGGGGGCTCTTGGATGCTGGAGAACAGCAGTGATGGATCCTCAGCAGGTTTATACCAGCACTCCTGTCATACCAGATTTACATCAGACAAAGGTATGACCAAGGAAGACCTAATTCATAATCCTAGAATAGTGTGGGTTGTAAAGGACCTTCAAGACCATTTAGTTCCAACCCCTTGCCATAGGCAGGGACACCTTCCACTAGACCAGGTTGTTCAAGGGCCCATTCAACCTGGCCTTGAAAAATGTTGGAAAGAAGGTAGTACAGCCAACCCTTCATGTGAGAGCAGATAAATGTGACACCGAGGAAAGTCCTGTGGATTTAGTGGAACTTTGGGGAATCACAGAATCATTAAGGTTGGAAAAGATCTCCAAGATCATTGAGACTAACCATTAACACAGCACCACCATGTTCATCACCAAACCACATCCCCTAGTGCCACATCCACATGCCTTTTTGAACATTTTCAGGGATGGTGACTTCACCACTTCCCCAGGAAGTCTGTTCTAATGCCTGAAGAATTTTTTTTTCTAAAATCTAATCTAAATCTCCCTTGGCACAACTTGAGGCCACTTCCTCTTATTCTATCACTTGCTACTTGGGAGCAGAGCCTAATCTCCACCTGGCCACAACCACCTTTCAGGTAGCTGTAGAGAGCACTGGAACAGCTCCCCAGGGCAGTGGTCACAGCCCCAAGCCTGGCAGAGCTCAAGGAGTGTTTGGCCAATGCTCTCAGGCACATGGTGGGATTCTAGAGGATGTCCTGTGCAGGGCCAGGAGTTGGACTTGGTGATCCTCATGGGTCCCTTCCAATCCTGAATATGCTGTGATTCTGTGAAATGGGGAAAGCTAACCTCCTTCCTTTGGTCTCCACAAGTAGGAATATCTAGAGAAATCAGTGCATGTTGTAAACCCACTGATTCGCTGTGTCGTTACGTGCCATCTCCTTTCCTTCTAATTCAAAGATTTGCTTTCAAACACTGCACGTTTTTTCCAGCTCACCAGACCAGACAATCCCACTTGCCACCTTTCAATTCCAGTCCTGTGTTTCATACAAATGAGCTGCTGTTTGGATTTAGCTGCATCATCCTGCTGTAGCATGGCTTTTGGTACCTGGAAACATCATTCCTGCACACAATTATACCACCCAGAGCATCTAATGGAGCTTACAGGGATGTAGTTTGCCCCTTAAATTCCCACTACATTTTATAGGCAGGTTCTGTCTGATAATGTGTTTGTCATTTCAAATCAACAGAAGAATTTTCTCTGTCAAACCACATCTTTTCATACAAAACACACAGCTGTAAGGCTGAGAATGGCACCTGGAGAGTGCTCACAGGAAACCTGCAAAGATGAGTTAATGTAGGTCTTTTACCTCTGCTGAGAGCAACAGAGCTATAAACATTCCCAAAGCTCTATAGCAAAGGCACCAAACAGCTAGAACACCAGAGAAGAGGGATGTGAACAGAGGTTTTCCCTAAACTGGGTGAAAAGCAGCCAAGAGAAAACAAGCATCAGATTTTTGTCTCTGAAAAACTACTTTGGGACAAAGATTTTAGAGCTTCTTGTGATTTTAGTAAGCCAAGTCACAGACACCTGCCAGGATCTAGTGTTGAAGCCACTGATAGCCATCTCAGTGTCTCCAAAGCCTAGCAGGCAGCCAAGCTGAACACCCAAATTGAAAGTGCTAAGACTACTTATCACATCTGATCATCACCAAGCTCCATCAATCATCACACAGCCACAGCAGAAAGCTGTGAATAATGTAATCCTTGCAGCAGAACCACTGCAAGGGGAAAGGAAAAGGCTCTTGCTTTCTTCTCCTCTCTGGCTCATTCCTACTTCTGAAAACAGCTTTTTAACCCCTCATCCCAAATTGCCAACAGCTTGCCTTGCTGCAAGGTGCAGTGCAGAGCACCACTTGGTGGTCACAAGGAGGAAGCTGCACTTCCAAAAAAATCACAGACTTCACAAATGTGGGATTTCAGGAGCAGAGGCACAACAGGAGCCCAGCAGCCGTGGGCAGGCTGTGCATAAGGCTTGGTAGTCTCATAAGATGGAAAATGGAAGTGAGCATCACATGCTAAACGTCAAGCTGGAGGTTTGTGCTTCACACAAAAGCCTTTTACAAAAATCATGTTTTCCCTCCAAAATTGGCACTTTTTGGGCTTTGAAAGGGCCCCAGCAGCAGCTTGAAAGAAAACAAACAGGAGAGACTGAATATAGCAAGGACTCAAAGTGTGAAGCCCAGCAGATTCAGAAGGAATTCAGAGTTTCATGTGCATTTCCAGCCCACTGTGAACTATTCTATGTATCATAAAACGGTTTAGGTTGGAAAAGCCCTCTAAAATCATCGAGTCCAACTGTTAATGCAGCACTACCAAGGCCACCACTAACCATGTCCTCAAGTGCCACATCCACATGTCTTTCAAATCCCTTCAGGGATGGTGATTCCACCACGGGCCTGGGTAGCCTGTGCCAGACCTGGACAACCCTTCTAGTAAGGAAATTTTTCCTAATATCCAATCTAAACCTCCCCAGGCCATTTCCCCTTGTCCTATCACTTGTTACGTGAGAGAACATCACTTCTCTAATCCTGCTGGCCACACATTGCTGATACAAGCCAGGATGTTGTTTGCCTTCCTGGCCACCTAAGCAGCTTCTGCTGTGAGCCATCCTTGCTATACAGATCTTCATATGTTACATATAAGCTGATTTTGTTATCCTGTTTACATGCACTGAATCCATGACATGCCATGTAGATCTACCAAGGAGGGATGGCATCCTGTCTCCTCTTCCAGTGACACCAAGAGACTTCAGCACTGAAACACAGTCCAAAGAGATACTCATAGTTTCATAGAATCACAGAATGGCTAGTGTTGGAATGAACCTTTCAAGCTCATCTTGTTCCAACCCACCTGCATGGGCAGGGACACCTTCCACTAGCTCAGGTTGCTCCAAGCCTCATCTGACCTGGCCTGGAACACTTCTGCCACTCTCTGACAGACTAAACAAGCACTGTATTCACTGAAGAAGGCTCTGCTTTGCCTTCACTGAAACAGGAAAGCAAAAAAGCCCAAGAAACTCAACACCTCTGTTCTGTGACAATGGACCAACCCAAGAAAGATGCAAGCAACAGGAATTCCCAGGAGAATGAGATTCACAGGTCAAAGATTTTACTTTTGAAGGACTTGACAACCTTGTAACAGGCATTCAAAATTTCAGGTTTGGAGAAGCTTAGGAAAGCATCAAGAAAATAAGTCTTAGACAAAATAACAGACTTCCAGCAGATTTTGGGGGGGTGGGGGGGGGTGGTCCTGTTCTCTTAATAGTCACCAGAAACAGCCACAGTTGGCTTTATCTTGGGACTCTGTACAGACCCATTAGCAAATTTGGAGATACCCATACGTTGACAGTTGCTATTTCAGGGTGGCAAAAGGTTTTTTGCTACAAAACTATACATATCCATGCTGACTTTCGTGGCACAGCAAAGAGAGATGAGACTATCTCACACCTCCTCCATGAGGCATTTCACAGACCCAGCAGGAACCCATAACCAGCAGGGTCTGAAAGAGTTGGCCACCAACCAGTATCCAGCAAGAAAAAGCCTCAGACTCAATTTTTTGGGGTGTGATGGCTTGAAATAAGCTGCAGCTGAAGACACTGTGGTCATAACCTTGCTGAAGGCAATGGAGTCACACCAGGGCCTCTGCTCTCAGTTGAAGAAACCTTTGCTGAAGAAGGATGTTTCTATCTTTAGCTATTTTCCATTAATGTTTGCAAACATTTCTATTCCTCAGAAGATTCAAGAAACCATCATTTGTCAGGTTTAGTGTACAAGAGGAATGTCTAGCTGTGCCCTGAGCAGCAAGAGACTCTTGGTAGCAGGTGATAGATTCACTCACTGACACAAACTGAATTCAAACTGCAATGAAAAAATAAAACAAACTGAAAAGTAGGGTGCAGGGCACAACCTGGAGTCATCATTTTCTCTGTCCTTGCCCTTCCCAGCCTCCCTTACACCAATCTCAGAGGACAGTGACAGTTTAAGCTGTGATTTTACTCAGAGCCTAATACTGTAGGGTCACCCATTTGTGCTGATAACAACAATGTGTAAATATATAAATAATAACATGTAAATAACAACAGGATTAGGGATAGAGGTCTATAACTACCACCTCTTGCCAGAGCAGAAGAAAGAGGGCATTGAGAAGTCTCTCCAAATGCTTTCTTCAAGTGAGGTTCACTTTCTGCACTGCTTTTGTGATCACAGCTGACTGTCAAGGCAGGAAGGCCTTTCTAGGACAACTCTCTTTTATTATTTATGTGTTGCTTTCACATGATCACAAATAATGTCACCATCCAACAGCTCCAAAATGCTGCCAAAACAACCCCTTGTGACAGCTTGGAAAGAGACAGCTGGTAGGAACGTGGATGGGCTCCCATCATGCACAGACTGCTTTCT